GGAAAGAAGAGAGATGAGGAAAAAGGTCTGCTTTGGTATTATGTGGACCCTGCAGTCCTTGTTAAGGATTTGCTCTCTGATGTGTTTAATTGTTGCAGTTAGGCTTTTACCTGAAAACTTTCAAAGGGCCTTTATGTCGCTGTTGTAGGCTGTTATAGAGTCATTCTTAAAACATCTATCAGTGCTTCCCACTGAGTCGCTCAGTATCAGCTGCTTTTCTGTCTACAGTAACCTTTGCACATTTAATGAAGTTAGGCAAACCTGTACCATCAGAGTATGAATAGTTTTCTAGTTACAGGCCCCTGGGCCTTTTTATTTTTATTTACGAGACAAATAATAAACTGAATTCACATTTTTATGCCCAAATTTGAGCCCACACACTGGCATTGGTAAATAAGTGTCACTTATCAAAACTTAACAATAATGTGTTTTCCCTGTTCGTTGTGTCTTTTTGCTTAATGGTAAATTTCAAAATGAACGGTGGACAACAATAATTAAATTTCAGCATTAAAATATGATTTCAGTTAAAGAGCTTCTGCATGCAGGTGGATTAACTAGTACAGAAACAAAGCAGTGTATTTAAAACGTAAAAACTAGAACCAAATCAATCTGACAACTCAAATCTAAGCATCACAATCCACAACCAAATTCACATGCACCTCACCTCTCTGCTAACACACATACCCAGTTATATGAAAATAATAATATAACATAAAAATGCTATGTAGAGTTCAAATGAGACTTGTTAGTAAAGTGAAGTAGTTAATAATTTAATTTATCTGATGTTTCTGGTAGGGCTTCACACCGACGGTTAATTTGACTTTTCTTCTCCTTTGCGCTGGAACAATGCCCGGCAACACCTCACTGAAGAATGAGGCATCGCCACATTCCTACCATGCACATGCTGAAAAGCAGCTATGATTTAGTATGCAAAATGGTGAGCATTTACACACAAAATCAGGCGTGCAAATGACAAGGCTATACCGAGCACGGCATGGTCTATTGGTTAGCTGTGAACATGCTAAAAATCTGTTAGGGACTGATATACTTTAATGCTATAAAGAAAGTTTAAGAGTTATTAAGACTTTCCTTTGTGTTTTCCACTATTCCTGCTTGTTTAACAACAGCTGAGAGGGAGTTTTATGTGAGCAGTAGCAGGAGCAAAGCTTTGCGCAGCCCCTTCTTGGTGTTCTGGAGACAGAAGTTACCATATTTGGACGACAGGGTGGGGTGCTAATTTATCTGCTTCGCTGGCAAGTTTGGTTAACAAGCTCCATAAATCGTATGGTTGGAATGAATATTGTGTGTTATCTAACCCGACACTGGTACTGCTGCTGTCAGGTTTCTCATGTGCAGTAATGCTGGATACCGCACACCTGACGTACAACGTAAATTCAAGAATGCTGATTTATTTACTTCTTTTATCTTATTTCTCTTTGTTTTTTCACCTTAGGTTTAAAACTCTTATTCCTTTAGTTTTTATCTTGTGAAAGTTTGTAATTTGTATTCCTCTCGTTCAACTTTTCATTGTAATGTTGACCCTGTGCTGACTTTCACGTGACAAAAAATCAAACTGAAACTGAACTCAAACTTATTGGATGGTCTGTAGCAAACAGCAAGTTTATTATTTGTAAGACAAAT